TTCATGTCACGTTTCCGAGACATACTAGCGTCTCAAGCCTGGGTGACTCTTCTCATTAGTTCCTTGGTCTTCTCTTCAGCAGTTTCTACGATGATCGGATCGTACTCTAGAGCTACTATTAAAGCAGTGAGGTCGAGAGATTTAATTTTCCACCCAACCGCGCTAGCGCTCTTGTTGTCTCTTGTTAGTTTCTGGCCAGTTGATATTTCCCATACTATGGTATCGCACTATGGTCACTGGCTGTGTAGATGTTTAATACTTTCCAAGAAAAACCTCTTCGGGCTAAGCTACTGCTGACAAATGTGAGGTCGACAATTGAGCTTGCCTCTCCCTTGGTATAGGTTGGCGTGTCACCGGTGTTAAGAAGGATCACATTCAGTGTGGCCATTGCCTCGAGAAGTGCTTTTCCACGTGTATCACGTGTATTACGTGTATTAGTGAACTTGCTGCCCCAGTCTGCTGCCCAGGAATTGAAGTCACCAGCTATTGCCACGGGAAAGTGTTTTCTTGCGTCCTCAGCTAGCCGATCAGGGAAGTCTTCAAACTGTTCATTAGAGAGATTAGGTGGTGCATAGCAGCTGTAGAATGGGCCATCTACCCATGCTGCTACGAAGCCGGCTTTTTTGTTGTTGGCTGTTCTCTGAAAAGGAGATTTACCGCAGGACCAGATGACGGCTTGGTTAGTGCTGTCGGATTTCCAGGGTTGATTACTCAAGTGTCTATAAGGCTCACTTATAAGTGCTACGTCTACCTCTAATTCACGCACAGTTTGCATGAGCAAGTCATGCGCAGCCTCACAATGATTGAGATTGAGCTGCAATATCTTCATGTTCTTGGCTTCGTTATCTTCTGGAGCGCTTCTTGGAAGACGGGGCATCTATTCGAGCCTGCATGGTGGGTCGCCTTTTCTACGCCGTGCCGTTCAACGCACAGTGCACATTCAGCTGGATTTTTACAATCAGCAATTTTGTGTCCTTCTTTTCCGCACCTTATGCAGTGCTGAGACCGGTTGACTTCGCTTTTGTACTGAGATCCGATGTGCCCAAAGTGCCAGCATTTGAAGCATTGTATAAGGTCTCTTCGTTGCTCTCATTCGGCAATTCGACCAGCCTATCCTTATTTTGCAGTTTCCCTACAGTAACTTTTGTGCTGCAGCTGCTGGTAGTGACACTGTGGCTGTCTGTGTACCCCTAAAGGCTTTACGGATCTTGATTGCCTCTAGTGGGATTTCACAACTTTCTCCAGCTTCCCTCTTTAGAGCGGTCTGGAGATAGTACTCCTACCCCAGTTCCCTGAGGCCTAGCCGACACTTAGCCAGTCCCGGAACACACGGACGGACTAGACTCGCTCGGGGCGGTGAAGATTCCGATCTCTAACACTCACTGCGTACTTCCTGATCAAGGCCCGAAGTGACTGGCTCCTGATCCACTACTGCAACTTACACCTCGGCAGAGCAAGCTCACATCAGCCGTGGCCTGCATCGTCGGAAACTACGATACAGGTTCCGAACACTCCCAGTGAGTTACAGCAGGGACCGATCGTCTTGTTAGGTCAGTTAGTGTGACCAACCCATTAAAGGGGAGTTTTGTCCACGGGAGCGTATTTTATTCAACTCCTACCCTCTGTACTTCATCAACTAAGAGATTATCCAAGTGTCATCCAAGGACAGCGAGCGTTCTCCCATCCGCTCGGGGAGACGCGCCCGGTAGCAGTATCTCTTCTGCCCCGAGAAGTGTGTGTGTGTGTGTGTGTGTGTGTGTGTGTGTGTGTGTGTGTGTGTGTGTGTCTGTGTGTTATGTAAACCTCTCATAACTCTTGAACGGCTTGACCGATTTGATCGCGGTTGGTGCCATTCGAAAGGGTTCGATTAAACTTAGATTTTGACAAGTTGGACCGATTCGGACCAAAGATTTTGAGAAATCTTAAAAAAAATTTTTCAAATGTCGTTTTTTTTTAGTAACTTTCAAACGGCTTGACCGATCAATTCCAAAAACTATTCAGCTCTTAATATCGAAAAACCACGTCGATCGCCACCAAGCCGGTCAAAATCGGTTGATCCGTTCGTGAGTTATCGTTGACGAAAGAAATCGAAAAAAGTGTTTTTTTCGAATCACACCGAAATTCCCAGTCTGATCAATTTGTGTTTGAAAATATATTATAGAATTTGAAAAACTGCTTGGAATGCCGCCAACCGAGAAAAAATCGGTACATTCATTCAAAAATTATTGCGGTTTGAAAATTCAAAAAATAGTGTTTTATTAAACTTCTATCAGACTTTTGAGATCGGAGAGCTCAAAACTACACAAAAATTATATTTTTGAGCTCGAAGAGCTCAAAAACGTAATGTGCGATTTTGAGCGGTTAATTTCGTAAGTAGCGGGAAGTTGCAGGGATGGCCTTCAGGGTCAACTGTTTTCCTAATTTTTTTTCTTAGTTTTTTTGAGTTTCTCAAAATCTACCGGTCCGAATCGGTCCAAATTGGATTCAAAATCTAAGTTTGGTCAAGCTCTTTCGAATGGCGCCAACCGCGATCAAATCGGTCAAGCCGTTCAAAAGTTATGAGAGGTTTACATACATCCATACACACACATACACACATATATACATACACATACACACATACAGACACCATCGCAGTGAAAATCGATTTATTTATTCAAAAGTAATTGCAGTTTGAAAATTTAAATAATAGTGTATCATTCAACTTCTGCAAGACTTTTAAGCTCGGAGAGCTCAAAAACGTCATAAGTGCAATTTTAAGCTTTTAAATATGAAATTTGCGGGAAGTTGCAGGGATGACCTTTAGGGTCAACTGTTTTGCTAATTTTTTTGTTGGTTTTTATTTTTTGAATATCTTTCAAACGGCTCGACCGATTGACATGAAAATCTAATCAGCTTGAAATCTCAATGAACACTTTCGATCGCCGTGTCGTTCATCTCGATCGGTTGATTCGTTCTAATGATATCGTACAGCAAAATTTTTTTTTACACACTCACACACACACACGGCCGGACGTCTAGCCGGAAATAGTCGCAACGGCTTCCTGGGACCTCAAAATTTGGAGATCTGATGTAAACTTGCATTCTCAAAATTAGATCGAAAACTATAACTTCCTACTTTTGAAAATTTTGAATTTTCAGAGCGGGAAGTTAAAAAATTGAATTTTGAAAGTTCAAAAAAATTAAAAATTTTTGATCGAAATTACATAAATAAGAAAATGAAAATTTCGTTTAATGATTTCTGACGTACGTAGCATAAGAGTCTGTATTTGTATAAGTTCTAGATTTAATGTTCGAATCTTTTCAAAATTTTTTGTATATATATGAATATATGGTTATTAATTTTTTGATAAGACAATATTTAAGAAATGATAAATTAAAACTTACATTAGAATCCTCTTTTATAGTGCCCATGCTGTAAGGCGACGATAAATTTGAGATGATGCTATTTTTTGAAAAGTTTTCAATATTAGCATTAGAGTCATGGAAAGAGACTCTTTTAATGGAAGCTTGGTGAGATCCGATTGGCGATGAAATTGTAGCAGCACTAGATGATCTTAAAACATTTTGTTGAGACATAACAGTATAACTGGAACCCCGTTCTGGTGGTACTGGTGCTTCGTTTCCATCATTAATATATAAATTATCCAATTTTAACATTTCTGTATACAACTGTTGTTGATTTTTTGGATTTGTTTGATTTTGTTGATATTGTTGTTGACTGTGTTTTGTATCTTCTTCATTCTTTCGATGATTACCGTCATAATCAATTTCTTCGTCTTTGTATTCATCCATTCGTTGATTTCTTTCTTGTTCTTCATGAATCTGAAGTTGAGTATTCATTTTCATATTATTTGACAGCTGTCCAAAAACTGGTGGTGAATTATATGTTGAGGATGTAGAAACTTGTTTAAAATCGTTTATATTTGAAATATGTTGTAAATTTATATTCGAACTATTATGTAAACTTACATTTCCATATTTCATTAGATCTTGTTGAGATGTTACGATAGGTAAGGAATTAAAAGGTAGTTTCAATTGATGACTCGCTGACTGAGATGAATTCGTTCCCCTAATTGATTGATTAGCTAGATTTGTTCGTGATAAAGTATTTGGCTGGATTGACGGGTAATTTTTCTCTGGAGTTGCTGCCATTTTTAGCAATCCTTGGACACATGGTATATTTTGATTATCAAGATCATTACTTTCTTCATCGTCATCTTGTTGAGCTGCAGCTTCTTCAGCTCTTTTTTGAAAGTCTCTTTCTAATTGGAGAGCTCGAAGTTGTTCTTCTTGTTGTTGTGTTCTGTGCGAAAGTGAATTCAATTCAGCAATTTGTTGATCTCGCCATAATTTTGCAGCTTCTCGTCGTCGTGCTTGTTCTTTTTCTCGTTCTTCCCGTTGCCATGGATTAGTAGCATTGTATTGATGCTGTCGATTTTGTTGACTTGAATTGGTTGTTGAATAGTAACTTCCTTTTGGGACTTCTTGTCCACCAGAAGTATACCTATAAAAAATATAAAATACGTTAATTTATGAAGAATTCAACATAATAATAAATGAAGGAGTAAGAAATATAAAAGATATAAGTGACAAATAAATAGTAATTTTTCGTTCTATATGATTTTTATAAATCCAAAATATTTCTTTAGTTCAAAATTAGTTTCTGTTCAAAAATTTTTTTTATTGTCACCTTTATACTATTAGTTCTTATACCTCCAAATTTGTATTATAACTTATTTACCTGGAATCGATTTGTTTCATATTAAATGGATGAGTTGAAGTATTAAGTGGAGGAGGTGGATGTCTTTCTTTATATTCTTTTTCAAGAATTGAATGTAGAGGTAAGGATTCTTTATTGATATTATTTTCGTAATGCATTTGATTAGATGAATTTTCATTCATATTACGTTGATGATTCACATTAGATGAATCATTTAAAAACTGAGGCTTATTGAAAAGTCCTAATTGTTGATTATATTCTGTAATTGGTCGACTGAGATCTGCATCATATTCTTTGTCTAATTCAGTAATTTGTTGGTTAGAACAAGATGCGTCATTCTTTTTCGAAATGGAAGTATATTGGTTCGAAATCAGTTGTTTGTTGTATAAAATATATTGGTTGTGTTGAGGATCAGATGACCCATAATTTGAACTTATTTGTATAGTATTGTAAGTTGGAGAATTCAAATCGAGATTTGGTACTAAACTTGTTTGCTTATAAATACCAATATTGGTTTGAGAAGTAGTAGGTCGCATATTGAGAGAATTGGTTTGATGTTGACTACTTATTATTGCACCTGCCCTTAATTCACGGCGTCGCACTTCTTCTTTCATTTCTTGTAATTTAGCCTCTTGACGAATTATATCTCTCGACGATTGTGTTTTCAAAAGAGACCCTGCTTGAGGAATTTGATAAGCATTGTAATTCATTTGGTCTGGAGAAACATATGCTGAAAGCGGCCGATCTTTTCCTTGGTTTACATCAAAAATTGGATGATTCAATGAATTTTGAGAGCCTTTCAACTGCTTTGGCGTGTACATTGAATTTCTAAACATAAGATTATTTTAATTAGTAGCCGAAAATTACTCTTAATCCTAACAAAATTTTAAGTTGAAATCTATAAAAATAAATGTATATAAATTAATTACCGATCAACTGATGTATGGTAAGGACCTAATTGTTTTACTGTTGGATCTTGATGTCTATAGACGCTTAAGTTTTGATAAAATCTTTCAGCTTCATTATTCTGAATATTGTTCAAAGCATTTCCAAATGATTGACTTGGATTCAAATTCGGTGAAGATCGCTGGCGATTCATCAAACCGGAAAGAGGCAAATGACTCATTTTTGTTGGTTCGTGAAGGTTGTTACTTGAACGTGATCTCAGAGACGAAGCGCCATTCATAGATGGCATAGGCGGCGGTTGAACTGGTGGTGTTGTACTATTACTAGATGACGTTCTGCTGTATCCTGGATTGAACATTTCGTGTTGACATAGTTGGGCTTGCAGTTGCTTATTTTCTGCGTCAACACCTTTATAAAAAAAGTTCACGTAGAAAAAAAGTATTGTTAATAACCCAAAATAAAAAAATAATAATTTTTTTAACTTTTTTATTAATTCAAAAAATGTAAGGGTGCTCAAGTACGGCGCTAAAATGAAAATAGGCTGTAGCTATACTTGACATCTGTAGAATTTCATGATAAAAAACAATAGTATATTACACTACAAGGGCCGAAAGTTGAAATTTCGGCCCTTGTGGTGTATACGATTTTTCTTCATAGTCTGTCAAAAGTACGTTATTAATTATACTTTTTTTAACTTTAAATGTTGATAAGTATGTTTTTGATGTCTGCCCCGACATTTGCGGCACGAGCGAAGCGAGTGCTGCTGGTCGTGGGAGCAGGCATCAAATACATTCAAAGAGTCAAGTCTGGTCATACACGGAAAAAAGATAACAGAAATAATTACAGTATAAAATGTAAAATCGGTCCCGTCGTAATCAAAACTAAAAAAATTACAGTTTGAAATAACATTTTTCGAAATTTAATTTTTTAGTTTAATTTTCAGAGCTTTCAATGTAAATATTACATTCTACAATGTAATTCTTATAAAATCTGTAATAATTACAATCTGAAACTGCAATTTTTCCAGTTTTCATCACGAAGCACCACGTTGCATTATATACTGTAATTTTTCGAGTTTTCTTTTTTCCGTGTATTTTTTAAAAATAAATTAATTTCATTTTATCAAAGATGTATTTATTTTCATTAATTTAAAAAATTATATTAGTTATTATAAAATTTATAAAACAAAACAAATTAAGGTAAAAGATCCAGTTATTGACACTGGCCCAGTTGTTTATTGTCACTTGCAGTTTTATTCGAATTAAAAAAATAAAATGTTCTCAAAAAACCAATTACTATAAAATTTATAATTCAAAAATTAAATTCATTAATTCATTAGAGTTGATTTGTTTTTTTAATTAAAATAAAAATTATAAATTTTTTAAAATCAAAATAAAATTGCAAGTGTCAATAACTGGATTTTTTACCTTATAAGCTAAAAACTCTTATTGCGTTTTTTTTATCGTTTTCATTTTCACTTGAATTATAATGTGTGCTTGCTCTGTATCTTGTAGCAAGATATAGAGTATATGTTGGTGCAAGTTTAAATTGTAAAGATGATGGTTCAACATCAGTAATAACTGCGTGCAAGAATGTTTCTTCTGTTTCTTCGAGAAACTCTAATACTGCAGGTAAGATCGGATCTGTACCTCTAGGTTGACGATCGTAATGTTGCGAAAGTCTGGAATAATGATATACTGATTAAATATTTGATATACTTAAAATATACCATTTAATAATAGCTTATTTTTTTACCGTTTATCAAGAGTGTGCAAATAATTTCGTATTTTAAATAATTCATAAGTTTTCGAATAATTTGTAAGTTTTCGAATAGGCTTAATTTATGGTTGGGTTAAACTGTAAATTATTTTTACAAAGACAAATATTTTGAAAAATAGGAAGAAATATCGTATAGTAGCTAGAGATGATTTCAATATTTCAAAATTCGTTTCAGTGATCCAAAATTCGAGTTTGACATCAACAATTTGAAAGAATTAAGTATGTCGGTTCTAAGAGGCGCATCCTAAAAAAAAGGTTAAGATCTTGAATGATGATCGAGTTTGGAAATATTAAAATCAGTTCTAAATCAAACTAGAAGCTCAATTTTTTTAAGCCCGCTTCAAAGCTCAGAGTATTTTTAAAATCTTATTTATCTCGCTTGAACTAAATTTTTTCTTCCAACATAATTTAAGGTTCACGTTGTTATTTTATTAAAAATATTAAAAATTTTAATCAAATAACTCATAAAATATTAAAAAGTTTACAAGTGATGGTAAAATTTGACTAAAATCTTCGTGACAGGGCTCTAAATTCTAAGGAGTTGATATTAATGAGTGAGAAACTATCATTAGAGCGACAGAAAAAGTACCTAATAATGAGAATTGAACTTAGCGGACGTTGATTTTAGCGGAATTTCAATTTATTCGAAAAACCTAGGAATTTAAAAAAAAATTGTGAATTATTCAAAACTATCGAATCTGTCCAAAAATTTCTTTTTGAACGTTTCGAACTTTACAAAAATTTTTGAATTACCAATTCGATTTAAACACTACTTATACATTCCTATGGTTTATTGAAATATTTTCACTTTCAATCACAGGCAAAATAATAAAAGTTAATGGTATACATAAATGAATGAAATCAAATTCTGGTGCTAAAAACATACCTATTACTATCTCTGCTACTTGTAAGACTAGCAGTTTCAACATTTCCATCTAAATCGAAGGTAGTCTCATAATTATGTGTGCCTTCCGGAATGACAGAACTATGTGCAGTATTTTTTGAACTAAGATTTGCGACATGCGATTTTACTGGACTGGGTGAAGAACATTGACCATCGTTTGGAGAACTGGCTCCTGATCTGCTTTTTATTAAACCGAAATTTAAATTGAAATTTGATGAAAATACCAGCAATTAGCAACATGCAAGCAAATCATATTCATAAGCACTGTATTCAACTATAAGATTGTATCATTAATAAAACTATTACAGTTAGCAACATGAAAAATTACAATGCCAATTTTATTTATTCTTCATGAACTTGAAATTTATTTATTGGAGCAATATTATAACAAAATAAATTATGTGACTAAAATAAAAATTATGAAGTAAAAAGCAAAAAGAATTTCATAACTCTTTTTTAATGCACAACTAAAAATACTGAATTAAACATGTTTGTCTTACCTATCACGATTGTGCTCCGCTTGTTTATTTGAATCGTGGTACTGCCTGATTCGATCTTCAGGAGCAGGATCAATAAATCTAAACGTATGTAGTCGACCGAATTTGATGATGGCTCCATTCTAACAACAAATAATATCAAATTATAAAACAGTAATTATATAGAAGTGGGACTACCTATTTTGAACCATAAAAAAAAATGAAAAATTGATTTAGTTATCTTTTTTTTTCAACTTATTCTTCTTTTTCGGCGGATTGATGATAGAAATAAATTTAATTTCTAAAAAATTGAATTTTATAAAGATTTTTGGATTTGAAAAATCCTTTAAATGAAATTTCGACTCTTACTCAATAATTTGAAATTGATGCATTAATTTTTCAACATTGTTATATTTTTTCATAATGCACATCAAATTTAAAACTAATAAAAAAAAAAAATTTGTCTATACGTCAATCGTTCAAATTTTCACTATTTTTGGTAAATGCATTCAACAACATTGGATTTCCACAATAACAATATTACTCAGTTAACAAAATTCGGGAAAATTGAATAAACAAAAAAAAATTTTTTTTTGTTTTACTTAAGATGCGCAACATGACAAAAAATAACAATGTTGAAAAGTGAATGCATCAATTTCAAATTGATGATTGAAAGTTGAAATTTCATTTCACGAAATTGTCGAATTAAAAAATCTTCATGAAATTTAATTTTGGAAATCAAATTAATTTCTATCATCAATCCGTTGAATAGAAGGACATGTTGAAAGTGAATATCTTCCTTTTTCGATTTTTTATGACTAAAAATATGTGAAATTCTACTTCTATATAATTACTTTAGCTTCATATACTTATAAATAATTTTGACTTCCATTCAGACGATGAAGATTCTATAACCGCGGTAAGCAAGCAAATACAGTAAAAATAATACAGGACTAATAATAATTTTTGCTTATTCTATAAAATACACAGAAAAAAAAATTAACTTGATTCAAAAGAAAAATTCTTGAACCAAGAATATAATTTTGAAGAGGGTAATTGTCTAGAATCAAGACGAAAAATTCTTGAATTAAGTAAAATTTCCTTAAATCAAGAAAAATTTTCTTAAATCAAGAATTTTTCTACTCAAACTAAGAATATTGAGCTCTTCAAAAATATATACTTGACTCAAGAACATTTTTTTTTCTGTGTATACATGTTATAAAAAGGGATTGCAAAAAGTACATAGAATGCTTAAACTGTAGTCCAAACTTTAATATTGATTTAAACTACTAACGATCGTGTTAGTTTAAAAATTACCTGAAGAATTGTAGTCTGGTGAATTCTTTGATTATTTACATAAGTATGAGCATCTCTCGAAGCAGGCGTAAGAGTAACAATATTCTCAGTAAAAGCGATAACACAATGACGAGGCATAACTGTGGAGCCAGTGAGAGTCAAAGTTTGGGTATGACCAGCTTGGCTGCTTGAAGATACTTCAGATCCCACTTCTGTAACGTTTGGTAGTAGACGATGTCTTATTCCTGCACCATTCGGTACTTCCGATCCATCAGCATTAAGTTCCAACAGAAATGGTAATCTCTCATCTTCGTACTTGTTATCCATTTCACCCCATTTACCACTTGGTTTCTTTTTTCTCTTTCTTGGTACATAGTCTGCTGGTCGTCTTCTGACGTGAAACATTATTGAACCTAGAAAATCAAGGTTCTTTGCTTATCTCCATGAATAAGTTAACTTTATTATGTTTTAGTAAATTTATTTTGTCATTCAAAAAATCACAAATATATACAGCTCGAAAATGCTTTAATTAAAATGGTCTTTGAATTGATTTGTAGTGTTGAAAAAAATGATAAATTTTAAAAGGTAATTTCACGTAGATTTAATAGAAATTCAACTTTTATATTTGTTTCATTTTTTCAAAGAAAAAATAGTAGTTTACAAAAATTAGGCAATTTCTATCGAGAAACTTTTCCAACTGGTAACAGGTTAAACAACTCCAAAAAAACTTCTGGGGTTTTTCGATAAGGTATTGAATAATATTAGATTCTAGAATAACCAAAATCTGGTCTAAATTTTTTATAAATTAAAGTAATTAAAAATGTAGATAAAAATTTTTTCCTTAGAAACTACTAGTCTGACGTTTTCAGTATTAGCAGGTCAAATGAAGGGCTTAAAAAAGCT